CCCCAAAACCCCAAAACCCCAAAACCCCAAAACCCCTAAACCTGGATGAATATTGACAACTCTCTGATTACGAATTAGTTAGGTAGACAAGTCTCTACCAAAGAGATTTAGCATTGAAGTTCTTTTTCTTCTGCACATTCGTGCTCATCCTATCAGGGAAATGAGACAAGAAACCCTTCTTTTGCTTCTTTTTGGACAGGTTTTTGGAGCTGGTGGGTAGAGCCTCAGCCTCAAGCTCGCATAGCTCCTCACAGTTGTTTTGTAAGTGGATATCAGAATAGAGATCGTTCATCTGTCCTCTCCAGTTTTTGAACATTTTCTTATCTGTGTCATTTCTTAGATGACTCTTTAAGTATTTCTTCTGGTTCACGCTATAAGCCTGGGCTTCTCTGAACTGACCTCTAGTGGCAAGTCGAGAGGCTTGTTGGGCTGCATTGACTGCTAGAACTTCGATATTGACATCTTCTTTCATCTTAGAAACATCATCAGTGATTTTCTGAACTTTGGTGATAGTCCTAATACACTTCATCCCGTCAAGAGTGGTATACTCAATGATAGTTTGGAAAGGAATTTGGTCGATCTTGGTAATATCAAAGTTATCAAGCTTCTTCAATTCCTCCTGGTTTTTTATCCTGTACTCAAAGGTAATCTCTGAGTCTTCAGTGACGTTACCAACATCACGAGTCAAGATTGTCTTGTCGTTAGTCAGATCTTTTTCATCTTCGTTTCTAAACTCTAGTGCTTTATGAAGCTTGACCTTGACTACAACTCTAGTGGCAATGACCTCTTGTTTCATCATATTTGAGAAGTTGCTCTTCAGCTCATCTGGTTCGATGATATCAACATTTCCTCCGGTTTTGTCGTAAAGAGGACGGAGTGTCTCAAGATCACATTCTTCTCCTTTGATACTAATTATGTTGACAGTGACACCCTTGGATGCAGCGTAATCAGCTAGTTGCTCATAGAAGGTAGCAACGTCCTGTTCAACAGTATCACTATCCTTTAGTTCCTCAAGACTACCTATTCCAACATTCGCAAGCCCATCAGTGCAAATAAACACCTGAGAACCATGACCACACTCTCCAGCCATAGCAATGGAGGAAGCCACAGCCGGTCCAAGGGCTGTTGGCCCTGTTTCTTCTAATGAGAAGAGTTTTTCATTTAGTTGATCACTAGAATCTTCTATTCTTTGAGACATATGAGTCTTGGAAATGGTCTGTCCATTTTCTATTAGATATTCATAGTTTGTCAGTTTGTCACCAGAAATTGTCTGAGATGGCTGAGAGCCATCTCCAATAATGTTGACATCTCCATTGAAGGAAACTAGCCCAACCTTCTTCTGGGATTTCTCAGCCTTCATGTCAATTAATTGAGCTTCAATTGCTGCTTGGACACACTGAAGTCTGGAGACATAAGTTACATTTCTGTCATTAAAATGCAAATTGATCTGAACCATCTGAATACTTCATGAACTCTTGGAGTTCATCGTATTTATCTCCTTTAATTTTGAATTTACCATCAACGGCCTTAGTTACACACATTGAGCCTGAGATATCAACACAAAAGATGACAGCGGCTTCACCGGCGTGCTTTTTATTTTCATCTAGCTCTTCAGTGTCAATGATGTAGTTCATAGCATCCTTAGTTGGGATTTCTTCCTTCTCAATAAAGAGTGTATTAGTATAATTACAGAATTCGCAGTCCCATTGCTCTTCGCCCTCTCCAAGTTGGCTCTTTTCTTCTTCCCGCTCATCAGGAATTTGTTCATCTTCCATATCTTCATCGTCAACTTCAAGAATTTGTGCGAGCTTCTTCTCCTTTTCAGTAAGTTTGCTGTTGGAGTTGAACACAGCATTGCATTTCTCACAGAAGATAGGATCCCCAGCGGCCAATTCTGCATCCTCTTTTAGCACTTTCAAGCTGAGAGAGATGACATTGGCATCTACCTCGTTCTGGAACTTTCTTCCTTGCCTCCTGACTCTGCTCTTAAGAGCTTTCTTAGGCTTTTTAGCCATATTTGAACGAACAGCTTTCGAAGGAGAAATATGAGCTGGTGGTTCCATTGCCATACATAAATCTGGCTCAATACCTCGGTGAACTGTCTTGTTGAGTCCAAGGAAACTTAGAATGCCTTCTTTGTTTGATTCTTTATTCATAGGAGAATGGCTACCACCATCCCCGAACAAGTTTAGGGGTTTAGAAGCTTCCTGGTGCATGGTTAGACCTCTCATTACTCCTGTATTTTCATTACCAGCATTGCTGTTTCATTCTGATTTAGAATCCTCTTCTTCATCTGAATCAAAACTAAAGTTATTAGGTTGGCAATCTTACCTCCGATTCAGTTCGTCTGAGCAGACTGACAGGTTGAAACAGTACTCCTCTTCCATATCCTCATCATTTTGTTTTTTCTCTTGGTTTTGAGTTTTTCTTACAAAAATATTGCTACTAGCAAAATTCATTTTTAATTCTAATTATGTTATTGCTATTTTTGGGATATTTATAGTAGTTTCAGTCAGATTTTGGTCAGAGGGGTTTTGGGGTTTTGGGGTTTTGGGGAG